TGAAGCCTTTGACCAAATTTCACAGGGTCATCAATACAGACCTAAAAGGAATCCTCAGATACCAAGCAGTCCAACCTCCTCAATTTAATGACAAGGAAAATGAGGCCAGGAGAAGTTAGGTTACTTGTTCAGCGTCATCCAAGGGAGGAAATGAAGCCAGCATGCTATTCCTACCATATTGTTATCTGACAAGATGGCGCAGAGTGGTAGAAAGCACACTGGATCCAGCATAGAAAGACTTGGGGTTAATATCCCCAAAGACCTAGCTGTATGACCCAGTTGCAAGGCATTGAAATTCTCTGAATCCCAATTTGCTCCTATAAAATGGACACCTATATTTCCTGGGTCACTGTGAAGTTCAAATGAAATAATACATGTAGGGGCTTTAGAAACATCAAAGTGAGAGAGAGAGAGAGAGAGAGAGAGAGAGAGAGAGAGAGAGAGAGAGAGAGAGAGAGAGAGAGAGAGAGAGAAAGAGTGGGAGTGGGAGAGGGAGAGGGGGGAGAGAGAGAGAGGGAGAGAGAGAGAGAGAGAGAGAGAGAGAGAGAGAGAGAGAGAGAGAGAGAGAGAGAGAGAGATGACTCCAGTCACATCATTAGAACTAGGGGCAACTTTGTAATCTCCCCATTTCCATTCAAATAGGAAATAGCTCACTATTCATGAGCTAATACATATCAAAGTCCTATGTGAACTGTACGGCGCAATATCAACTTAAGACATTATCATGATTCCTGACCTTTTAAAATCCCAACTTCCCCTTTAACATTTAAAAAAACATTTATAGTAAAAACATTAACATTGAAAAAATAAAGCATGTCATGAAAGTTATATAAAAAGAAATTAATTTCCTAAGACTGATCAACCATCATCAATCCCAGTCAAGGATAGTAACAATATCTAAATCCAATCTTTTTTTTAGCCAGATAGGAGATAAGAGGTTCCCGGAGAAACAACTATACTTAAGACAAATTAGAAAGATTAATAAGAAGAACAACAACAGTAGCTGGCATTTATATAGTGATTTAACCTTTCCAAAGCTCTTTACACATTTGTTTGAGGTAGCCGCTATTATCATCTCCATTTTACTAAGGAGGAGAATGACTTGCCCAGGATTACACAGCTAGTCAACATCTGAGGAAGAATCTGAACTCAGGTCTTCCTGATTCCAAGTCACGCACTTTATCCACTTCATCACCAGATAAAAGATTAAAGATTTGAAAATTCCCTTTGGATTGACCACTTACTCATACACATACCTAACTTCAACTAGAAACAAAAAATATTAACTATTTATTATTAAAATATGCATTTATGTTAAAGATGTATTAATAACTTATTTTAAATAAGTATTTTTCCTTCATAGAGGTTGGTATCATTATCAAATAAATTCATAAGTCTTCCTAATAGTGTATTTTTGTAAAACTGTTGCCACTAGGGAGAAAGGAAACTTTGATTTCAAAGAAGGTGATTGTTTTTCATGATTAAAAAATATGTCATTGTCTGGCAGAATTTTTGTGGTAGTACCAGTAGAATTATATTCTTTTGCAAACAGAGTTGGCATGCATGCCATATGCCCCAACAGCATTGTTGGCATCATGCAGCCTATCCAGATAATTATTTTGCTATATAACCTATCTCTATTTTACCAAAACACCACCCTTATGTAATACAAAAATAAGCAAGTCTAGAAACAGTGACTCATCCCCATCTGCCACTACCTTAAATCCAGTGATGGGCATCCTCATTGTTCATGCTTTCATAATCCCCTGCAGATCTCTATTTTGTTCTGGGGCTTTGTCCATCAACCCACTTTATGGTTGTTAAATCCGTAAAGCTCCCAACTACCCTACAATTTATCTCATTACAAAGATTTACTAGAGGACAATAATTCTCTTCACATTGCACATTGGTCAGGAATTAATGCCGACCTGCTCTTTTGCAAGGATAGCAAGCTGCTTCTTGGACTGGTATAACCCCCCTGAGTCAACAGTGAGCACATTAGCAAAATACAATTGCTAGCTCATTGGATGATTCCAGTTACTCACTGAGTGTGAGCTATTTTCTGTTTCTCCAATTGTTTAAAAATTCAATTTGTTTGCAAATAAACCAAGCGGGCATGAAAAATGAAGTGATGAAGCAAAGCATGCATGAGTTGTTGTGCTATTTGGGAAAAAATACATACATATTTAACCATATACTATCTTAGTGAGGGAGGGAAAAAAACTCCTAGAACATCTGATTTGTATTGAATTAATACATTCTTTTTATAGGATGCTATCCAGGGAGAATGTGACTCTGAGCAAATGACATCTTTGGGCTTCAGTTTCCTTGTCTGTAAAATGAGTGGGTTGAACTAGACCTCTAAGTTTCTTCCCAGTTCTAAATCTATGCTCTTGTGAAGAAAAGGAATTAATTTATGGGCTAGCCAAAGAATATTCTCTGATCTCTATTTTCAGAGTAACCTACTTTTCAAAAAGGAAATTGTAAATTCTTTATAATTAGATCCAGCTCCAGACAAAATTTATGAAGCAGTCACAGAGTTTTAGATCCAAAAGGGACTTTCAAGGCTATTCTGCCTCTGACACTTTCATTCAATTAAATTTAATTCGGCAAACATTGGTTAAACACCTACAACATGCAAAGCTCTGTTCTAAGTGCTGGGGATTCAAAGACGAAAAGAAAAATAACCCTGGTGCTCAAGAAGCAGTACATTCTATCAGGTGTATGACCTTGGACAAGCCAATTAACTTCCTAAACTTCTGTTTTCTCATCTGTAAACTCAAGTCTGTAGTAAGTACTTTCCTCCTACGAGTTGTTGTGAAGGTCAAATGAGAAAGTGTATTTAAGGCATTTTATAAGTCAAGAAGTCAACAAGCATTTATTAAGCACTTACTATGTGCCATGTCTTATGTGAGTACTTCTGGCTTCCAGCTTCAAAAGAAAATGTAAAGAAGGCCAAACCTACTTCCGGTTACCGAAGGAAAAACTCTGGCAAGAAGCCGACTCTGTCTTATCCCTATCTCCAGCTTGCTACACTAACTACTTTGGGCAATTTCTCCTTGGTTGTGAACTAGGATTCTCTCCCTTGGTTGAGCTGAGTTTTATCACTCCAATGGGAAAATTCCTTCACCTTCTATTATCTGGTATATCTTTTCCAATGTATAATTTGTCTGAATTCTGTTTTTCTATCAAAATGGATAAATGGGTTTCTTTGATACTTGCCATGCACGTTAGTTGTGAAATGGGTATTTGGTGGGAAAAGAGGTCAAACCTTGAATATAAAGCTTGGGGTTCTGCTTCCCCTCAATAAAAGAAATACTGATTAGCAGTTAGACCGAACCTGAAAATCACATCCTCTAGATTAATAATATTTAAGGGAGCAGATAGATATAATTCTGGCCCAGTATCCCCTCTCTCTGAGAAGAACAGAGTAGTTTTCTCTGGAGCCAACTTCCTGCTTCCCCTCCTGATAGGAATTAAAGTTTCCTTTGGAGAAGGGTGGGGAGATAAGAGAGAAGAGAGAGAAGATGCCTATTCTACCTCCCTTCCAGCCACATGACACATAGTTGTGGACCCCTCCCCAAACTGTCTTGAACCCCCAAGATCTGAGAAAGGCCTAAAACCTGGATTGGCCAATCAGGAGAAAGACATTTTGGCCCACTCTAAGCTTAACCTACCATGATGCTTTGCTTTGCTCTCTGAGTGAAGTCAAAATGCCCCTTCCTGTGTCAGCAACTACAAGGCCAGATGAAGTTGACCAGGAACATTCTTCTGTTTATGACTACCAAGGACCCAAACACTATCTTGAATAGTGGGACTTTTCTTATCTTGGTATTCTACAGACACATGTTATTTCATGTTATATCATGTTAATGATAGAAGAAGCACAGACATCTTCAACTGACACTTTGACATTCTCCTATCTTATTATATTTACACTCTTTCCACTTAAGAAATTCCTTTCTCATATTATAGTTAACACATATGGAGACTATAATTTTGGCTGACATAGGTATCCTGAGCCAGGAAGGGAATTGCTCTGAAGATATAAGGTCCCCTTTGTGTGTGCTCCTTGAGTTAATTTCTACAATGAACTCCCACGTGTATCTTCATTTGCATATTCCACATGCTTTGAGAGAAATAAACACTTACATGTAGCCTAGTTTTGTTTGCCTTTCTTAGAATGAACTCAGTAATGGTTGACATAGGAGACGACTTTTACTACATATATATATATGAAGAAACTGCAGCCCAGAGTGGTGAAGTTGCCCAAATCATACAACTAGTTGATAGCAGAGGCAGTACTAGGTCTCCTGTCTCTCAATGCAGTGTTATCTGGAGCTCTCCATTTGTGGGGAAGGAGAATGGGAAAGTTAGCCAGAGCAGTTTTGGATATTCAAATAGAGTGGTGAGGGTAAGTGTGTGTGGGGTGAGGTGGGGAATAGGGGGTGAATTAAGAAAGGCACAGCTCTTAAAACTTGATCGGGGCATAAATTCACAATTACACCTATGGTTTCAGGTTCTCAAGGGGAACAAAATAAATGGTAATCAGCTTTTCTCCCTCTTGGCAGTAGAAATCCTTCTAGGCAGATCTAATTATATGTATATTCAGATGGTTTCGACATCCCAAAGAACATTTCTCTTCCACCTCTTTCCTACTTATAATCCCTACCTACCTATGTCTTTGGGTTAATGGCTAGGCAGAATTTATTGGGGCTTATGAAAAGAAATGCACCCAAAGGTGGAATGGGAATACCATGTGAGCAGGAAGGAGCTGTAGGAAGTCTAGTCTGGTGTATGGTATGTACACATAGCTAATTTATCATGACATATGCTAACCTGTGTGATGGAAGCAACAATTAGACTTATGTTTCTCAATGCACGTAATCCAACTTTTTAAATCAATACTTACTAACATCATCCCCCTCCCCTTCCTGGAGGTCCTAGGAAACTTCCTTCATATTTATGCTCACGACAAGTTTCCTTCTCCATCCCTCCAGAAATCAAGTGCGTCTCTTTCTCTCTGAAGAGACCATCTAGCGAGTCTCCATCAGTCAACACCGCCTTCAAGTGAACATTGGCTGCTCTAATCTCAACTTTGGGAATGTAGGGCCATGTCCCAGTACAGACCCAGGAGCAGATCGAGGCCTGAGTGGTTTTGTTATAGTTCTAACTATGGGTATTTGTATGTTGCTGGTAATTTGTTACATAAGTTGCTGATAAAGTTGTCTATATTATTTTTGTTGTTATTGTTGTTCAATCCTTTCAGTTATGTTTGATTCTTTGTGAACCCATTTGGTGTTTTCTTGGCAAAGATACTGGAGTAGTCTTCTATTTCCTTCTCCAGCTCTTCTTACAGATTAGGAAACTGAAGCAAACAGTGTTAAATGACTTGTCCACGGTCACACAACTAGTAAGTGTTTGAGGCTCGATTTGAACTCAGGAAGATAAGTCTTCCTGGCTCTAGGCCACCTAGTCACCCACACCATACCATTTTTCTGTTGGTGGTCAATCATGTCATTAGTTATTTATGAACACAGACATGTTGTTTACTAGATCATAGCACTTAAATACTTATCTTATTATTGAAAAACAACTTGTACAAAACCAACAATTTAATCACAAAATGGAGGCTTAAAACAAAATGGAGTCAGTTATGCAAATATGGCCAGCATTCCTACCATCTAATTACGGTACTAAAACGTATTCTCACTATGGGAAATGAAAGAGGCAACAGTTAACTTTTGACTCTACTGTACCTCACTGTCTCAGGGGGAACATTTTCTCCTTCTGAACCACAAGGCATCTTTCCTCAAAGGAGTCTTTTTCTTCTCCAGGCTTGCCCTACTCACTTTTAAACTGATGACAGGGGAAAAAAAATGTTTACTGATCATTTGAGCAGTATCTTCCTTGATTCACTCGTACACTAGTGGGCCTCAGTTTGTCTGCACAGCCATAAAAAAAAAAGGCTAATATTAGTCTGGGGGCAATAAGGCTTAGCATATTCATTTGTTAGCCAAATACTTAGAGATTCTCTGATAAAATAATATCTAAATGGCATTGTAGGATTTAGCAAAATGCATTTGCCCAATCCTACCAGCTAATGGATGACCTGAGGTGACCTAATTATGTTCCCGGTTCATGTTTTGCTTACTCACCACTGCTGCTTGAATAGCTCAATCCTTTCTTGCAACTTTGCTTTCATTTTATGCTTTGAAAGATACCCATATTACCACCATGTATTATTTGCAGACACATAATCAAAACACGTCTCTTATTTCTAGCTGCTTAGCTTTAAAAATACAAGTACATTTATTTTTTTATTAGCAAAGAATAAAGAAAAACTCCTAATTCTAGTCCAACTTGTCCTTTTTTTTTCCAGATAAAGAAAGTGAGGCCTGGAAACATTAAATGACATGCCCAAGGTCATACAGGTGAGGCTAGTCACATAACTGGGATTTGAACCCAGGTCCTCTGACTCCCAAACCAGTAGTTTTCTCATTCTCCCATGATGCTTTTCTTGTTATAAGATCTTTTAAAAGAGTAATTTTTCTGTAGCTCTGTTTCTTCATCTTTGAATTAGGGAAACATCATGACAGTTATGAAGATTTGCAGGAAGAATGTTTGTATAGCTTTTGGCTATTCAAGCACATTTAAGTTTCCTAGGAAATGCTTAATCATGACCACAACCAAAACAACAATGGAAATGTGTGAGAAAAAAACTGTCACAAACTCATGACTGGTTTTCACAGGGGTGGGGGAGTACAAAAGAGGATGTATTCATTTTCCTTTATCTCAAAGAAGTGTTTGTTTTCGTCTGTTCTTACTTCCTCTCCCACTTCCTACTAAATATATAACATTAGTAGCAGTCAAGTAGATGTTTAAGGGATTAATTTAGCAGCTGTATTGTCTCTGTTTCCTGTAATCACTGAGCAAATATTTTTTGCTTGGTGTTCAATTCTTTAAACATTGCTGGAGCCTTCTCTACTCTCTCTCTTCCCACAACCAGCTCTCTACACTCTCAAATCAAATACTACAACACAGATGCCATTTTAATGAATAAAATCATAGGTGAATAAGGCTTGGAAAGCTGCCTCCATCAGTATTAAATGATAACCATAGCTTATCTTTAGATAATGTTTTATATTATAAAGACATGCATCATCTCCTTTGAGCCTTCCAATGACCTCTGAGGTAACTAAGGAAAGTCTTAGCATCCTCATTTTTCAGACAAGGAAATCTGAGGCCCAAGGATCAGAGGCCAGCCTGCCCAACCCCTTTATTTTACAGATGGGGAGACTGTAGCCCCAAAAGGTTACCTGCCTGGTCTAGGATCATATATGTAGTAAGTGACAGAGCTGCTTCCCAATCCTAGGGCCTTTTATACCATGCACAGCCAGTAAATATAGAGGCGTAGACACGAACAGAGACTGAGTCTAGTGCTCTTTTTCATACACTCTGTTCCCTTTATACTTAGTGCTTCAGAGAAAGTGGAGGAATCAGATGAAAAGTAATAATCAACCATGAGTGCTTTTCAGAGAAAAAGGACTTTTTCTGACCTTTGGTGACATTATGCTATGCCCTTGAGCCTTATTTCCTACTTCAGCCAGCCCATGGCCCATAGATAAGAACCAGATCTATCTTTTAAAAAAAAAATTTCTTGGCCAGATGCAATGGCTTTTACTTAATACCTGTTTCTGGGGAAGACTGAGGCTGGTAGATTGCTTGAGTTGAGGAGTTCTGAGATATAGCAGGACTAAAGCCAATTAGGTGCCTGTTCTAAGTCCAGCAACAGTATAGTGAGCCCCTGGGAAAAGCGGCAGATCAGACTGCCTAAAAAGGGGTTAGACGAACACAGGTTTGAGAAAAAAACAAACAAAACCAAAAACAGAGCACGTTAAAACTTCCATACCCACCAGTATTGTGATTAAGCCCACGAATGATGGCTGCACTTCCAGCCTGGGCAAAATAAAAATGCTAAGTCTCTCAAACAAAATGAAAATACATTATGCCAATAAATGCCCCACATTAAAATGTTTCATCTGTAAATTATCTCACTGCAGGAGCTACTTATTAGCAACTTAGTGATGCTAAGCAGTTGAATATGTAGTTACCTGGTCTCACTCCTGGATATCTTTTGTGGACAGATGGGGTGGTCCACTGTAAGGAACGCTAGACTAGAAATGAAGAGATGTGAATTCTGCTCCCTCTTCTGACTCTAAATAGCTATGACTAAGCAAGTCACTTCATCTAACTGGCCTCAGTCTCCTCATCTATAAAATTAAGGGGATTGGGATTCGATTCGAAAGAGAAAAGGACCTATGGAAGAACTAGAGAGGTGGCCCGATTTAGTGAAAAGACCACTGGATTTGAAATCTTAGTTCCACCTATTACTACATGTGACTTTGGTCAAGTGACTTATTCTCCAGGTTTTTCTTTAAAATAGAAGAGTTGCACCAGATGGCCTCTAAGCCTCTAAATCTTATATGCTTTGAACTAAACCCACAGTTAATGAAGAATTGGAAATAAAGCAAGTGCCAATGACTGGGGAGTAGGTAGACAAATGATGAATATGAACATTATGATATATTATTATGCTGTGAGGAATTCAGAGAAACATGATATACACAATGAGTCCAATGAGGCAGCAAGAGAACACATTGGTAGAATGTTCACCCTGAAGTCAAGAAGACCTGAGTTCAAGTCCTGCCTGAGCCACTTCCCATCAGTGTTATAGTAGGCAAGTTATCCTGTCTCAGCTTCTGTTTTCTAATCTATCAAATGAGGACAATAAATAAATTCTGGCAGTTGATTTCTAACAGTTAAACTTCAACATGAAAATACTGTGGTCTGTGTCTATATCTTCTTTGTTTCATATCCCATTTGTCATTGTTATTAAATTCTTTAGATAGGCTGAAAGGAGTTCTTTTAGTTGCATTCCATATTTTAAAAAAATCTTTATTCTCTCTCTTTTGTCTAACTGTCCAAGACCATTGATTCAGGAACTGGTGGTTTCTTGTCTACTAAAATACAATCCATTTCATTTTGTGATGATATTGGGTGCTAGTCATATCCAGAACCTTCTGATTCTTTTCTCCAAAAAAATATTTATAATATGTAGGCATGACGCTTCTGTGTAGGCTATCAGTTTGAGGGCTATCTTTCCATATCTCTGGATCCATATTTTCTAATATGTTATCTATCATCCTTATTTATTCCCATCTTAGCATTAGAATTTATAAGAAATGACTTAATTTGGAGGGTCTTACTGAGTTCATAGAATTTCCCTACTTCTTCATCCTCTGCATCAGAGGATGGTGCACAGGTTGCCATTATTTTCAAGGTGGTCTTTTTACAAATACATACCATGAGTATTGTAATACAAGATGTCCAAACATCTCTTTAAATTATATTTCTTGTTGCTTTGAGGTGCATGATAAAATCAACTGCACAAAAGCCTTTATTTGTTTTTCCAAGGAAAATCAGTGAGGCATCCTCCCGTTTATCTGTAACTTTATTCTATCCTCTGGTTTTATTCACATCCAGAATGTCATAATTGATGTGATTCAATTCCACCCATAGTATGTCCACCTGTTGGTCAATTGATCAGAAATTCACATTTAGAATTCCCATAACCAAATTCAAGTTTACTAATGGTCTAAAAACCATGATGATTACTGTAGAAACAGAAGGGGACTACACAGAACTGAGTGCCATTTTGTATTTTTCTCTGTTTCACAGGTAGCTATAGCCAAAGAATTCATCACTAAATGATCAGCCTACTAGTGAAAAACTTCTTGGTACTTAGCTAGCTTAGTCCTCAGTAAGTGGACTCCGTAATTTGTTGCTGAAAATTCTCACAACCTTTCCAACATGGCAGAACCTGCCTAAGCTTGTCTTTAAGAGCATAGAGTCACTTCCACTCCAAGATGAGGCATCAGAGCATGAATTTGTGAAGAATGGTAATATTATTACAGTCTCAGGCTATATTCGGTGCTTCATATGCAGTGCTCTCTCATTTGTGTTGATATGTTTTCTATCTCTCATTTATTTTTTCTCCTTTC